CATCAACAAATTAAACACATTTGATTCAGTCCCAAGTACATAGTTATAGGCATGACATGATTTGGATGGTTCCAAATTTGAATTTAGTCTGCATGCTGTCAGTCAAAAGTTAGCATTTTGCTTATTATCCTCTTGAAATGATGTACAGATATCCACCTGCAGGGAGAAAATGGTGTCAGAAAGTACTGTCCTAGGAACTCATTTTAAAAGGATATGAATCAGATTTATTTTTTGCAGAATGAAATCCACTATGATATTGGAAAAGAATGATGTTAAGAAAGGTTTGTGCTTTTAGACAACAATTTTGATATTTCAACATTTCCCAGGGCCCAGCAGTTTCCCTTTCTGAGCTAGCTGGGCTGGTATCAGGGGTAGTGTTGGAATCCCCTCAGCTTGTTGTGCTGGAGGACTTAAATATTCATGCCAAGGGAACTTTGTCAGAAGTGGCTCAAGACTTCATTGTCTTCCATGACAACCATGTTTTTGTTCAAATGGTATCTGCCTCCACCCATGATGCTAGGCACACTTTAGACCTGGTTTTCTGTACTGGGGTAGATATTGGTGATATGGGTGTAGAGGAGCTCTCTGCAATTCCATTGTTATGGACACATCATCTGGTGGGATTTAGACTCAGTGGAACACAGGGTCTCTGCAGGGTTGGGGGACCAAATAAGATGGTCCACTCCAGGAAGCTGATGGATCCAAATGGCTTCATGATTGCTCTTGGACTCTGTTAAAGCCCTGGTTAATCTGTGGAACTGGGGAATGGCTATGGCTGTTGACATGATCGCTCCTAAGTATCTCCCCTGCCACAAAATAGAGCCAAACTGACTCCTTGGTTTACCAGTGAGTTGGTATGATGTAACAAGTGGTAGAGATTAGAGTGGCAATGGTGGGGAACTTGGACTGAATCTGACCGAACATAGGCTAGGGCCTATTCTTCTCTGCCACCATTGCGTCTGCACAGAGTCATCCAGTGGAACTCTTTTGAATGGCCTGTTACAGCAAAGCAAAGCAAAAAAAGCAAAGCGTGCTGCTTATATACCGCCCCATAGTGCTTCAAGCACTCTCTGGGCGGTTTACAAGTCAATTATGCAGACTACACATTGCCCCCCCCCCCAGCAAGCGGGGTACTCATTTTACCAACCTCGGAAGGATAGAAGGCTGAGTCAACCTTGAGCCGGTTACCTGGGATTGAACCCCAGGTCGTGAGCACAGTTTTGGCTGCAGTAGAGTGGTTTAACCACTGCGCCACGAGGCTCTTATCAGGGCCATACAAATGCTGGGAGCCAGAGTTTGGGGGTTCAAATGACACTCAATTCTATCTCTCCTTTCCAATTCCAAGGAGACTGTTTCGGCTCTAGATCAGTGTCTAGTGTCAGTAACAGACTGGATGAGGACAAACAAACTGAAAGTTAATCCAGGTAAGACAGATGTGCTCCTGATCAATAAGAAGGCAGATGAAGGAATAGGGATAAAACCTGTGCTGGATGGGGTTACATTCCACTGAAAACTCAGATTTGCTGCTTAGGTGTACTCCTGGATTCATCCGTGAGCTTGGATGCCCAGGTTTCACAGGTGGCCAAGAGTACATTTGCCGAGTTTAAAACTGGTGTACGAGCTGCACCCATTCCTTGAGATGTCTACTTTGGCTACAGTGATGCATCCTTTAGTTACATCCCACTGGGATTACTGTAATGCACTCTGTATGGGGCTGCTTTTGAAGATGGGTTGGAAACTTCAGGTGGTTCAAAATGCAGCAGCCAGACTACTGATAGGGGCAGTTATAGGGAACATATAACATCCTTTGGTTGTTGTGGGTTTTTTGGGCTTTTTGGCCGTGTTCTGAAAGTGGTTCTTCCTAACGTTTCACCAGTCTCTGTGGCCGGCATCTTCAGAGGACAGCAAACTGAACATGGCCAAGAAGCCCGAAAACCCCTTTCAGAACACGGCCAAGAAGCCCGAAAAACCCACAACAACCATTAGATCCCGGCCGTGAAAGCCTTCGCGAATACATATAACATCCTTGTTACGACAACGGCATTGGCTGATCAAAGTGCTGATCATTACCAATAAAGCCCTCTGTGGCTTAGGTCTAGGCTACCTGAAGGACCATAAGCTTTCTCAGCATTTAAGATTATAAGAGGAGGCCCTTCTTCTCAGCCTCATTGCCAATGTTGGCATAACTGATGGGGACACAAGGGAGGGCCCTCTCTGTGGCTACTCCCAGGTTATGGAATGCTCTCCCTTTGAAGGTCAGGTTAGCCCCCTCCCTTTTATCCTTCCTCTGACAGCTGAAGACCCACCTTTTCAGACAGGATTTTAACAATCATGGCTGAGTCCCTGAATGCCATTTTTAGTTAAGATAGTTGTTAACATTTTACTTCTTTTTAATTATTTAATTGCATTGTAACTTTTCTAGTTTGTTTTTAATGTATATCTTATTTTTTAAAAAATCTATTCTTTTTAATACTGTGAGCTGCCACGGGTCCCTTTATCAGGAAAAGGCAGCCTATAAGTAAACTTCAGCTGGTCAAAAACAACAACACTGTAGTAAGATTGTTAACTGGGGCTGGTTAAGGGGATCACATAACTCTCCCTGTTACAGCAGCTCCACTGGCTACTGATTTGTTTCTGGGCACAATTCAAAATGCTGGTTTTAACATATAAAGCCCTAAACAGCTTGGGTCCAACCTATCTCATGGGTTGTCTTTCTCTCTCTTATAAGGCTCCCAGGGTGTTAAGATAATCAGGAGAAGCCTTTTTCTCATCCCCACCACCTTCACAGATGTTTGGTAGGGACACAGGAGAGGGCCTTATCTGCTACTACTCCAAGACTTCGGAACTCGCTCCCACTGGAGGCCAGGCTGGCCCTATCTTTGCTATACTTCATCAAGCAGGCAAAGACCTTTCTCTTTAGGCAAGCTTTCCCTTACTGTCTCAGAGGTATTTTTTAACAGATTGTTGTGCCTTGTTGCTTTTAAATGTGTTTCTAGTATTGATTTTATTTACCATTTTATATAATATTTGTTTGATTCATTTCTAATATCTGCATACTGTTTATATGTTTTAAATATTGTCTTTTAATTATATAAGCCACCTTGGTTCTTTTTAAGGAGAAAGACAGGAGAATTAAAAAATAATTAAAAATAAATATTCTGCGTGCTATGAATTTTACTGCCACACCTATTAATTCACATGGCTTTGTTGAATTAAGACAAATCAGAAGTAAATCTCAGTGATATAAAAATTTAATTTTAAGCTTGTGCACTTATAGTCATACTGAAGTTGCAGTCAAGTTCTCATTAACTGGACACAGACATTTAAACAGATGGCATGTATTTTTAAGTGTCTCCAGTGTTTGGATGCCAAAAGTCATCCTACATTTCTACAGCCTTTAATCCATTGATCTAACTCATCTAGTCAGAAAAAGTATGGACAAGGGACAGAAATACTTAGAATAAACAGAATGATAATGTTGGAGATGTAGTATTATGTACAATAATTTTCCCCCCACATGGGTCTTAAGCAAACTGCATCAGCTCCCAGTTTGCTTCCAAGCTCAACTCAAGATGCTGGGTTTGATCTGTTGTTGTTGTTGCTGCTGCAACTGCAACTACTATATGCTGTCAAGTTGCCTCTGCTGTATGGTAACATTATGAATGAATGATCTCCAAAATGCCATATCATTATTAGTCTTCCTCAGCTCTTGCAGTCTCAAGGCCATGACTTCCTTTACAGAGTCAATCCATTTTATATTCAGTCTTCCTTTTTCCTGTTGAGGTTTGACCTATAAACCCCTAAATGGCTTGGAGCCAAGGAATCTGAAAGATCACCTCCTGTACCTGCAAGGCATTTGAAATCCTCAGCAAAGGCCTTGTCACATGTTCCACCGCTGGAGGCCTACACTGGTAAGTACCCAAGGCAGAACTTTTATCTGTAGCAGCATCAATTGTGGAACTCCCTCTCAAGGAGAACAGGACTGACTCCACCTCTGTAGAGCTCACAACAAGCCGCTGAAACTATACTGTTACAATCTAGAACTGTCTTTCCAAACTGTTTTCAAGATAATGTTTGAATTTTTTTTTCAAATGCTGTTTCAAATCTGATTTTAATTATGTTAATCTAATGTAAATTGCTTTGGGAACCCTGGTGAGCAAAAGGCCAAAACATAAGTACAATAAAGAAACAAGTGCAAGATATAAATTACTTTTCCATAGCAAAACTCTGTCCAGGGTTCAGAGGAATCTGTTTTGAAGGCTGAAGTTCAACTTTGGAAAATGTGAAAAAAATAATTTAGAAGAGAACATCTCTCAGCATTTAGGAGTGCTTTAGGTTACAATTACAATATATACTGTACAGTACTTGCATATTATTTATACTGCCCCTACTGACGCAAACCAGGTATAGTCTGACTTATTTCGTACTTTGAAGGCAACCACTGCTTCATAGCGAAAACCCTTTGGTGCCATTCAACTGCTCAAAATGTTTAGAATATCAACGTTTGTTTCTTTCTAAGCCATGAAGTCTTTAAGTCATAATGGTGTGAATTCATACCATGTTCTCCATGGCATCTCTGTAGTACGCAGACCCCATCCCATAGTTTCCCCTGGCGTTTATAGAAGGGCGTCTCCACATCGCCTGACTCCGCAACAGTTTGCGACGCGGTGACAAGTCATTCCGCATTTTATCAAAGGTGCGCGGTCGACGTTAAGGACGAGGGAGGGGAGGCGGCGGCGCAAACGAGAAGGTTGCTGGCTTGCAACAGTCAGAGCAGTCTAACGCTGACCCTTCGGCGTGACCTTGTCTGGGCCGTCTCCTTAGTAACGGAGACCCAGAGAGAGAGAAAAAACCTGCAGACCGCTTCTTTCGAGTTACCTTTTTGCTAGCGGTCTGACCTCTCTGCGCTCAAGAGATCGGGGGCAGTGCCGTGGGGGCTATAAGGAGAGAAAACGTCGGCGTGCGTTTAGCTGCTTCGTGCTACGGGTGTGTGTGTTTGTATCTATGGCTGGGGGAGGAAAGCGGCGACCCTACTGTGGCGTGGAGGGTACAGTCCCTACACGTCGCCTTAACTTTTGGCCCGCCTCTTCCACCCTTCTCGCCTCCGGCCGGGAGCCCGATCTAGGCACGCGTGAGGGTCAGGAGAGAATAAAATGCGCCGGGCATCTTTCTCCGTTTAGTCTCTGCGCGATGGAAAAGGGGTGGGGAAGACACCCATCGGAGTCCCAAAGGGCACGCCTCGGAGGGCCATAGGAAGAGCCCTGCTGTGTGTGGAGCGGGGGAGAGGGTGCCCTCTGTATGGGGACGGGGGGGGCGCGAGAAACCCCTGCGAGAAAGAGGCAAACCTGAGGAGGCAGGCTTGAAACACGAGGGGCGAAATGTCCTCCGAAGTGTGGGGACAGACAGAGGTGTGTGCGTGTGCGTGCGTGCGTGTGTGTGTGTGTGTGTCAGAGGCTAGGGCTGCAGGCCCTCCGCTGTCTTGGGCAACGGCCGGGTGGGTGACTGGGGGAGGCAGGGAGGGACAGAAAGGCCTTACTGCCGCCACCTCCAGCCCCCCGCCCCAACCAACTGCTGCCTCCGGGACCCGAGCTGACGGTCAGCCCACCCGAGGAGGGCTGAAGCGCCCGCTTGGCTCGGCCTTGCCCTCCCGCCCAGGCCTTCCTGCTTTTTTGCCGGCAACTCCGTGGCGCCTCCTTAAATCTCTGCCGTTAAAATGTGGGCGGGTGTTTCAAGTCAAAGAGCGCTCAAATGTTTTTCCTTTTCAAAAAAAGCTGCCGAGGGTTAGAAGTTGGGGAGGGGAGGAAGGAGACTGGAAATGGGGACAGCGGCAGCGAGGAGGAGCAGGAACCGGCTTCCTCGGCGGCAGCCCGCGAAGAATTCAAGCAAGCAAGAGCTCGCCGGCCTCAACCCACGGGGACGGGCTTCAGGAGGCTCGCCGAGCGGAGAAGGCGGTCTGAGCAAGCAGAGAGAGTCCCTTCGGCCGCTTTGCCGCCTTCCAGCGAGGCGCCAGGTTGCGCCGGGATCCTGTCAAAAAAAAAGAAAAAGAAAGAAAAGGGCGCAACGCCTCGGCCGCACCAGCCGCTGCCTCTTGGTGACTGCCGCCCGAGTCTTCACGAGGACGACGAAAAGGGGGCAACGGTTACGGACATCGCAGCGCCCACCCGGGCGCTCCGCACTGCCGGAGGAGGAGGAAGAGGCAGCGATCTCCTCCTGGGTGTGACCGGGCGCAAGACTGGCAAGCAGTTCCTGGGCATGGAGCGTAGCCGGATAATGGCATGGCGGGGTCCGGGCAGCGCCTGCCGCCCCTTTGGGCTACCTGGGGGCTCCTGCTCTCCCCGTGAGCCGCTGGAGAAGTTTGGCAGCTGCTCCGCCGCCGGCTGGCGTTAACCCTTCCGCTGCCGCGGCTGGTTGGAGCCACCTAAGTCAGCTCCGGCGAGCTGAACGTTTGCAAGAAAAAAAAACCCCAAAGCAGGCGGGGAGTGGGCGGAAAGACGGGGCCAAAAAAGAGAGAGGAAGAAGGAGGGAAAAAAACGCAACCGTTCGGGATCGTGTATAAGAGCCATTTGAGGAGAAGGAGCGCGCGATGGAGGTCGGAGGTCTCCCCTGGACAGCACGGTGGGTTTACTCCTTCCTCCCTTTCTTTTGACCCCCCCTCCTCCACCTCTTTCTCCGCCTCCACCTTGTTCTTCACCTTCTCCGCCTCTGGTTCCGCATTTCAGTCAGCCTGGCGGTGTTTCTCTGGATGCACAAGACGCCACTTGGAAGGGCACATATCATTTTATTTTCGCCCTGGCCAAGGTCCTCGGCGGTGTGTGTGTGTGCGTGCGTGCGCGCGCGGGGGGGGGGAGCGAGTGCTGCGCGCGTTAGAGGTGCAGCGATCTGCTTCTCAAGCGGAGCAGCAGCAGTGTGTATCACGTGTGAACCCAAGGGGCGGGCTTCTGGCAAGGAGCTTTTTTACGAGTATTTACTACAAGAAGGTCTACTCCAGAAGATTAACATCCCTACTCCTGTCAGTTTCCGATGGCCATGCCCGGTTAAAAATAAGAAGCGGAAGAATAAAAAACACAAGCCCAAGTCCTCTGCTCCTTGCCGATCGTCACTCGCCCTAAGGAATGGCCGAACCTTTTGCGAATGAGTTGGCGTCCGCAGCTGCCAGAGGGGACCTAGCGCAAGTTACTAATTTGTTGGAAAAGAATGTAAACGTCAATGCACAAAATGGATTTGGAAGGACTGCGCTGCAGGTTGGTATCTAAAGACGGACCGTGGCAGTCTTTCACCGCTAGGCGAACTGGTTTGACTGGGGAGAGGACCGTTTTCAAAGAGGGGAGGGGAAAATCTGCATTTTTTAAAAAGCGAGTTGGTTGCCATATTTTATAACTTTAGCAGCTCCAACTCTCTAAAGTGGCGTACTTTTAAGTAAAACGGGTCAGGAAGGGTGTTTTATTTTAATCTCGACATCAACGCGTCCACACGTTAACTCGAATTTTAAAATAAGCCCTTTTTCTGGGGCAGGGAAGCAAGTGGCGAGGGGGGGAGGGGGAGGGAAAGAAACCATCCGGGCTAGGTCGTGTTTCAGAGCAGGTCGGTAAACACCTCGTTTCTGTTCTTCGAAATCCCGATTAAATGTTTTAAGTTTCTAGCTGCTGGGTACTCTTTGGCTGATGAACGCTGAGGCAGTTGAGGCTTCTTCTTTCCCTCCGTCTCCCACCGTGGCGAGTTCATATTTTTCTGGTATCGCCGCCGAGTAACTAAAATGTACGTTAAGGGAGTCGGATGATCAGAATCCCGCACTTAAAGATAGTGTTCTGTCAGTTTCTCCCCATCCTTCTTCCTTTTAGCAAACTGGTGGATCGCTTCACGGCGAGGATTTCCTTGCCCTAGGTAGAACGCCGTCTACACCCATTTCCAATGTTTAGATTTACAAGCGGCAGCTGGAGTCTTTCCAACTACTAAAATCCTGGACCCGTTGAAAGATGTTTTCTTTTGAGAACATCGCATAACGGTGCTGAAAGTGTTACAACAATACACGAGAGAGAGAGAGAGAAAAGAAAAGCAAACCACACAGCCACGGAAGAAATGTTAGAACGTAGGTGAAAGCCCGAGACTGGTTTGCGTGCCAGGCAGTGGATCAAGTGTGCATTTGGGACCACTGAATAGCTCCTGAAAGAAAGGGGGAAACTTTTAGTTTTAAGTTCCAAAATGTGGTTCGCTTTCAGAAATGTTGTTATAGAGCACTTACATGGAAGGGGGCTGAAAGATCGGTAAAACACAAAACTTCCTCTCCCCCCCCCTTCTTGTTTTTGAGAAGAACACTTGCTGTAGCAAAGTTTGAGAGAGCACTGTATGGCGTTTTGTTCCTACTGTATTTACAATCCAGCTTAACAAGCCTAACATTATTTCCCTGTCTATAAGAGGACGTATTTGAGGCACCTCTGCTAGAATAGAAAATGCACAGTGATAACTGTTAGATAATGAAGGAAAAGGTAGTGAGATTTCCAGAATGAGACTCCAGTTTCTCTTCCAAGTGAAGAGGCAATGGTATTCCTTTTCTCCCTCTCAAATGCCTTAGAATTTACCGGGGTGTGTTTTCTAGGCAGAGGCTTAATATCTAGTTGACTTGGCGAAGAGCATCTTTTCCACCAGCCACACATTTTGTTGCTGCTTCATCAGAAATGATTATTTGAGGCACACACTCTGCACATGCACACACATCCTAGAATAACAGCTATAATATACAACAAAGAAGACTGGTGACTTTTTTTCACCATGTATAATCCAGCTAAACTCGAAAAAGTTGATAGTCAACACAGTTCCTAATAGTGCGTACACTTTATTGTATCAAAGAAAGTGAAAACTTGTTTTGCTTCCTCTTCTTCCAAGCTCCACCAAGCTTTTTGCTGTTATTTTCTCTGAACTTCTTTCTTTTTAAAAACAGGTGTTTTAGATCAGGTCATCTTCTTTTTATTTGACCAAGAAAGGTCAGGTTTGCTTTTCTAGGCCTTTCATTTTCTCTTCTTTTCTGTCCGTTCCTTTCCCCTTTTGAAAATATTCCACACCAGAAATGCTTACATATGAGCGGTTATTTAGAATTCCACTTCCCTCATGTTTGTCTTGGTACACCTTCCCTCCTTTTAGTTTTTCACCATTTAGATGCCTGGATCTGCTTTCCTGCCCCGCCCCAAAATGCACAGGTTCCAGAAAGTATGCTGGATAAGACATTAAATCCTGAAGGTATTGATTCTGACAAAATGATGAAGAGCTGTGGTACTAGTTTCTAGAATTCTAACAATTATTGTCCTGGCCCTTGCAGCCTATATCTGAAAACCAGAAGGCAGGTGATGGTAAAACAAAGCACACCACGATCACCCAGTAAACTTCCCTCTTCATAGTTGCCGTTGCCCACTAGCAGCTGTTATATATTCTGCTTCCTGTGTTTCTCCCTTACAGAACTTTGATTTTCCTCTTGTTTTTGCAGTTATTTTCAGTTTTGTTTGTTGTTACTCCATGTTGAAAGTAGAAAACAAACATTCTTTGCAAGAGACAATTGTACAAGGGTGTGTGTGTTGTGTTCCCTTCCAGTAGAGGCGGGGAGGGGATGAAATAGAATGGGGTTAAAAAGTATTGAGAGCAAAGGAACACACCATCCTTCAAAACTGGCTGTTCCCAAAAGCAAAGAACACTACCGAAACATAACCTTCAGTGTATTATATTACAGAATATCCAGCTGCATTTTTTTTAAAGACACAGGGACTAGAAGATTCAAGAACCCAAAGGGCTCTGGAGCTCAGTAGTTCTGCTCCTAAACTGGAAAAAAACTGTGCATGTGCTCCATTACTGCTTTATAACTCATTTTGTGTTAATATGTAATAGCAGGGATGATGCTGAGTCGTAAGAGCTCTCCATTTAGTGATAAGCACAGAATGTTTACAGGGAAAAGGAAGGAAAGGACATTTGGAGAAGCCTACAGATTTTTAAAACTTTCTATTCAAACCAAACAGGAGGACCTCAGAAGGGTTTTTGCCCCTCCTCACTCATTAGAGGAAACTAGAATGTGTGTTCATTTGCATTCATAGAATCAATACCAAAAAAAAACAGAAGTGCAATTCTAGCCACAATTACCTGAGATCAATAGAACTCTGCTCAGATTGGGCCCTGTCCACAAATGTGGTGGGACAGACCACTATTCTCACGTAGTCATATGCTTATATTTGTAATTAGTCTGTTAATCTACAACATAAACATTCCAGGATTCTAATACAATCTCTTGACAATACAGGGGTCATAGATTATTCTTCCTAATAACATTATTTTCTTTCAGTTTCCTCTTCTATCTTACTCATTTTGGCAAAATCTCATTATGTACCTGGCCTTGTTTGTTTGTTTGCTTGTTTGTTTTGTGCTGGCTGCAGCAACGTTTGAATTTCTATTAACTAGCCAATTCAGTTCAAGGTATTTTCTTAACTACCCTTTCCTTTTAGCTTTAGGATATTTTTTGTTTTATTATGACTAAATTGTACGTGGAGACTAATGGCAAGGGTCTGCTCCCAGTTTTGAACTTTTCTCTCACTGCCCAGTCCTCATGGTAAATAACTCTTAATTCCTAAGGTTAGAAAATGTAGGAAATATGGCCAGTGTTAATAACATAATTGTCAGTGTACTTTCTGCATTTCATTTCCGTTGGTTTCACTGACTACAATCCAAGTGCTAACCATCTGTACTTGGTGTGTGCTTGTGTATATGTGTATGTAATTTTGGACAACAAACTTCATGGATCTCATGAAATGGGCTCTAGTCCAAAAAGGTTTATGCACTTATGACAAATGTGTTAGCCTTTAAGATGCTACAGGACACTTTATTTTTTTTTTGTCTTGGAACAATTAACACAGTTATCCTTTTGGAAATTGTTACAAGAAAAAATGTGGAGGTAAAATATAACACACACATAACATATACCCTATTTCCCTGAAAATAAGACCTAACCAGAAAATAAGCCCTAGTATGATTTTTCAGGATGCTGATAATATAAGCCCTACCCCAAAAATAAGCCCCAGTGAAGTGAAACCCCACCCTCCATTGTGCAGCATTGTGCAGCAACCAGAAGAAGATGACATGACTGCATTTGTGTAAATGTAGATTGTTGTACATGAAAAAAATAAAACATCCCCTGAAAATAAGCCCTAATGCGTTTTTTTGGAGCAAAAATTAATATAAGACTCTGTCTTATTTTCGGGAAAACACGGTAATACATTAGTGTACATATTTATATCTTGTAAATAAGCAGTCTACTACTAGAGGCTTTGTTTCCCCCACAAATGATATAGACAAAATGTTTAAGTGGAAATCCGATTTATCTCGTTCCTCCTTGATTTCTTTGGGATTGATTTGCAAATGTTCTGGATTTTGCTTCCAAATTGTGGGATTAACACAGGGGATGAGACTGGTCAACATAGTGGGGGGAGTACACTACGTTGGGAGAGCATCCTCCGTGGAGGTTCTTCCCACATACCTCTTCTAGTTTTGATTATTATATCGGAATCTCGAGTACCCCGCCCCCTTCTCGGTCTCATTTCCTACCGATCAAAGTGCTTTGTGTGGAATCCTCAGTACAGTATCCCGAAGAGAAACCTCCCAAGGTATCCGTAGCATCTTCTGAGCTGTGGGTCCTGTTCTCCCGCCACCCAACCTGGCACAGGGCTTCTGTAGGGCAGGGAACAGCAGGTGGAGTTAGTTGCTCCATTTCTGTATCCTCCCGGATAAGTGTTGATTTCCTGTCCCGCATCCCGTCTATTAAAAGCAGGAGCTGGAGAAGCTGCACCCCTACGAAGGCAGGCTCCTTTGCAACAAGGACTGATAGAGGAGTCCTGAACGGGTGCGCCGGGAAGAAGTTTCATGGAAATATAAGACGTTCGCATTTCCAAGTATTAAGCGTGGCAAGGAAAAATGATCTGCCGCCTGTTAGCCCTCCTCAACTCTTGGGCTGTGGCAAAGCCACCAGCCCAGTCTATTGCGCTTTGGATTCTCGCAGGTAAAAAGTTAAGGATGTCAGGATACGCGCCTAACGTGTGGATCGAGTTCACGTGCGTGCTTTCTTTTTTTCCTCTCCTCGCCCTTCTTCCCGCCCTCTCCTGCCAGGTGATGAAGCTGGGGAATCCAGAGATCGCCCGGCGGTTGCTGATGCGAGGCGCTGACCCGGACCTGAAGGACGGCACCGGCTTCGCGGTCCTGCACGACGTGGCCCGCGCCGGCTTCCTGGACACCCTGCAGACTTTGCTGGAGTTCCACGCGGACGTGAACGTGGAGGATAACGAGGGTAACCTGCCTTTGCACTTGGCCGCCCAAGAGGGCCACCTGCCTGTCGTGGCCTTCCTGCTGGAGCGCACCGCCAGCCGCGTGGAGCACCGCAACAAGAGGGGAGCCACCGCCTGCGACCTGGCCAAGCTCTACAAGAGGCACGCCGTGGCCAGGCTCTTCGAGGGGCGCTGAAGCGGCCGCTAGCCGGCGGAGGAGAGGAAGGCGCCGTCGGCGGGGACTGAAGCCGCAGGTCTTTGCTCCGGACTCGAAACAGACCCGCTCCCGAAAACGTTGCGGCGGTGTCTTCTCCTCACCTTGCCTCCCACTCCTCCTCCTCCTCCTCCTCTTCTTCCCTTCTTCATATATTTTCTTTCAAAGGCAGACGTGGGGGTGATTCTTTCTGTGCCTCTCTTGCGGACAGAAGAATCACGCCAGTAGCAGTTTTTCCTTAAGGGCGCGCGCGCTCAGAAAGCCAGCCCGACCGATGCTCGCTTTCCCCCCTCCCTCGCCCGCCCCTTGGTTTGTTTCTGTTCATCTCTCACTTAAAAGAAAAATACAAAAGCAAATGAGTTTGGGAAAGTGCCTTTTTGCACTATAACACCTGAAATCCACTGGGCGTGCCAGCTGCAAGGAATGATGGGTTTTGCAGTCCTTAGAACTCATTTTTTCAAGCTCGGTTTTTTAAAAAAAAGGAAAGTAAGGGCCAGCTTCCTGCTTCCCCACAGCTTTCTTTTTTTAAAAAAACTGACTGTGATTCCCCGCCCCCCCCCAATCATCTTGCCTAATAAAGGTTAAAATAATATGAAACAGCATATGAAGGAGTATAATTGCGCTGTGAAAGGGCTTTATGCCCGAAAGGGGCGGAGGGGGAGGGGGAGGGAGACTTTTGGAATACATTGATATTTCGCAAGATGGTGACACTAACAAAAGCTTCCAGTAAAACATTCCCTCTACTATTTCATGGGAGATATACAGATATCCATGGGAGATCTCTCTGTGTGTGTGTGTGTGTCATTATTGTTATGGGTTCTCTGCCATTCATTCAGAACAAACTTCTGTTAAAATTGGTGGGACTTGTTTTCAAGTAAGCTTGTTTAGGATGTAAGCTGATGTCAATTCATCGAGTGTGTCTGTCCGTCTGGGGAGAGGCAAAAGATGTCTGTGCTTGGATTTGTGTTTTCATGTTGAAGACTGAGAATAGGGAAGATTTTAACAGAGTATTTTATTATCAGCAACTTGCTTCTAAAAATCTACTTTTAAACTCCTGAATTTCCTAGATGTGGACATACTTTGGACATTTAAACATGTTATTCTTAAAAGAACACATCATTTGGCAACTGGCCTTGGAACTGGGATATTAATTAGTAACATTAAGATTGCCTTTGCTGGCTGTTTTGTTTTACCAATACCGAAAATCCTTCTGGTTTGTTTCAGAAAGTTGCCAGCCCACTATCATTTACTCTAGAAGAGTTGCATTTGTTCAAGTGGAATTAACAAACTGGTTTTTATTTGAGCTTAAGAAATAATAACTTTGGCCAAAAATTGTTTTACAGAGTCCATGATTCACCGTAGAGGTGGGTTTGCTATAGAAGTTCAAGGAGAGAAATTGTTTATAAAGCAAAAAATGTGAATGAAGTTGAACTGTGTTTTAGTTCTCCTGATTTTGGTTTCTAAGCTTTTAAGTAGAAAAGAGCAAACTTAAAACATGATATACTTTGCATGGAAGTAGATGACAAAACATGTAACTTTTATCAAGTACTTAAAATGCTGTCACCTCTCATACTGCTACAGTTTTCTCATTAAAATCTCGTTGTGTTGCAGAGTAGAAGCTTGCATGTTTTTCTTCTCATTCTCTCCTACAAATAATGTTTTCATCGGGTAAGTCACAGTGTGGATGAGTGGCCTGAGTTAAAGGACCAAATGAAGAATATGACAATATAGAGGATCACATTTGGTTAACAAAGACAATGTTACAGTGTAACTTTCAACAGGAGCAGTTGATTATAAAAATGCAAAATTTCATCTCAAAAGGGAAGCTGGTGACGTCCATTCCTCTCCCTTAAAAAAGTTTCTAAACGATATTGAGTGGCTTTTACACTGTTAAAATGAATGTCTCTTCTCAACAGTACAAACTTCTCCTTCGCTGAACCCAGCTTTCAGAAGGGTCAGATGAAAAACATTGAGTTCCACTGCTAATAAAAACAACGACCTTTTCTGCAAACTAGAGTTTAACCCCATCATGTGCCTTTCTAAATGGTATTTTCAAGGACAACAAAGCAGAACCTAGACTTTAAAAAGGAAATTACCAACCCAATCCTAATCCTGAACTATAAAGGAATTTGCCATTTCCCAGGAATTTGACATTTTCTTTTTGAAAGGCTAAATCTGCAGTCCTTCCCAATCCTTTCTGCTCTTTGAAGAAGCCAAGGTATTAATATTCTATGATGGTGCATAAATTGGCAGGCTTTTAACAGGTAATAGGAGCTGCCTAGTGAGCTAAATAATACCAAACCCACACCATTCTAAAATGATTGAAAGTTTCTTCTTTTGCATTGAATAGCACAAAATAACTGGTATGAACTCATTGGATTTCAGAAATGAGTTTTATGGTTGCCAGCCGGAAAGCCAAAATAACTGTAACACTCATTTATTTATTTATTTACAAGTTTCATTATTATTTTTCACTGACAGAAACCCTTGCCCAAGATAATATTAGACTAAAAGTAAATAATGTGAATGTAGTTTCAGATAAATATTACCAGTAGAGGGGAAATTAACTGCACTGTTCTCATGGTGTTCAAGCAAAAGTTTATGGACACCTCTTTAGAAGTATTTTTAAGAATAAGATCAGGAGGCACGCCCTAAGACAGTCATTCTCTCAAATGACACATCTGTGGTGGTCCTGATACTCAAATTGCCAGAATTAAAAAACATAGGGTGCCGGCTGAGGGGTGCGTGCGCTACTTTAGCTGTGCAGGGGCACTGCTGAAGTGCGAATATACTCAATTCTGAAGACTATTATACTTTTGTCTCCACAGAGCGATATACCAGAGGAGCCAGCTGAATACTGGAGCTGCGCTTCCGTCTGTTCAAGAGTATTTCCGCCCCCATTAGAGCAAAACCCAAGAGGCGTTTATTCTAGCACCCGGCTAGTGGGGACCAATTATCCATAGCATGCCTTTAGCAGCACTGGAATCCGATGGAAAGAGCAAATGCTCGTCTTTACGTCTTGGGGTTAATGTTTAATGAACAGACTACTATACAACGGGTTAATTTAGGACCCGAGTGGGATGCGTTTGAATCGACTCGCTTTCTCCAAGATAACCCCCGTAGGCTTTGGAAGTAACTGAGCTGAGCTGAAATCACACTTTCCTTCATGGAAGAGTGCTGTCATGAACAACTTTCCCCTGGCACCAGCTCCAACTGATTTCAACGAAACTTCCTTCTTAGTATGGAAAAACTGGGTCAGGACCTCCGCACCAGACACTTTCAAAGAAACCCATGAGCTTTGCCAATCCAATGATTTCTCACTCCTCTGTATTTACCCGGACCAAACTGGCCTTGCTTTCCATGGTATTCCTGTCTTTCCAACACTCGAACTCTGAGCCCTTGGATTGGTAAACTTGCGGCGTTTGAGCTGGACAGGACGTAACCCCCTTGGCTGGGGAAGGTCACCTACATGGAAGTCACTTCCACTGCACATCAGCGGCACTCGCTTGCCAAGAAGTCGAGGGCACATCCGAATATATTGCCAGGGAGGTGAGGGGGGGGTCCGAAGTTGCCATTCGGTGCAGATAGTGCTGAGGTCCCACGGCAGCTCATGGGGAGTTAAAGGCGCACCATTCTGCGAGGTGGGGGGGCACCACGTCGAGGTCCAAGCTGTCAGTCGGCTTGGCAAGGTATGCGTGCAGGACTTCGGGGCCCGAATTCGGGGTGTCCGAAGAAACCCTTTCCTCCCAGCCCCGGCTTGGCTCAGCCCAATCCTGGATGCTCTCCTCCGCGCAAGAGGCGCGCCCGAGGGAGCGGCTCCGCTCCATCAGGCACAGCCAGCCGCGGGCGCTTCGCCTCAGGTATGGCGCTGAAAGGCGCGCCGCAACGAATCCGCCCCGGTGATGGCAGGTCGGCGTCTGGAGCTTCTCCAGGGGGGTCCCGGCCCCGCGAGAACCCCGAGCGCCACCGCGGAGCGGCCCCCAAGCCCCACCGCTCTCCCGAGAGCCCGGCCCAGAGGCCAGCCCCGGCGCTCAAAATGTCGGAGGAGCGGTGCGTAGTTGCCGCGCCGCGTCCTTGTGGCGCGCCTCTCGCACGCAGCTCCTCCGGGAAATCTGCCCGGGTTCGAGTCCGCCGCCGACACCGCCGTCCCCCCCCCG